CACACACACACACACACACACACACACACACACACACACACACACACACACACACAATTTAAAAACTACTTTTGAAGTCAAACAAATGTTCAGAATTCATTTCAATAAAGTACAAGTTAAGAAGATCATGGACATTTCTCTTTTTGTTTTGAAAAAGTATTGAACAGTGACACTAAAGTATCGAACCGAACTGAATGGTGGATTTCCTGTATTGTTGCAGCCCTTGTATATATGTAGCTCCTGACGACTGATTGGCTGTAAACATGACTAGTAGCACAGGTTCACATGCACTGCTACATCCAGGGTGTTATCAACTCTTTTCTTTTTCTTCTCTTGCTCACACATTTCTGTCCATCACAGTCCAGTTCTGTTGTTGCCTGCAGGATTTATGGCCATGGAATCCAAAAAGGGACGGAGAAGCTGACCGAACGGCCTGCAGAGGACACAGCAGACAGAAATCAGGAGCAGCTTTAAACAAAACGTTCAAAAGAACTTGATCATGACAGAGTTTCCTCACGTGGACAGGACTTCAGATGGAAGGTCTGTGATGTACGACGGGATCTTTCTGCCAGTGAGGAACTGAGCCACGTCACTGCTGAACGAGTTGCAGTTGTGTTGAAACACATTGTACTTGTCACCGCTGTCCACAGAGGCAATTAGCAGGAAGGACACAGAAAAACACACAAAGGATTAAACAGAGTTTTGAGTCATGTTGAATGAATTATTTTCACTTAATATATCTATATTTTTAAAAAGAGAAAATTCATATTCAGTCAATTTCAGTTCAGTGGGGGCAAATGTTTTGTTGATGCCAGAGGTCAGAGGAAAATGACCAGACTGGTTGGAGCTGATTGAACAACAACAGTAACTCAAATAACCACTGGTGACAACCGAGGTCTGCAGAAGAGCATCTCTGAACACACAACACATCAAACCAGTGTGTGCTACCATTAGAACCAACTGAGCATTGTGTCAACATCACAGCCTACCTGAGTGTTATTGCTGACCATGTCCAACCCTTTGACTACAGTGAACCATCTTCTGACCATGTCCAACCCTTTATCAACACAGTGGACCATCTTCTGACCATGTCCATCCCTTTATGACCACAGTGTACCATCTTCTGACCATGTCCATCCCTTTCTGACCACAGTGTACCATCATCTGACCGTGTCCATCCCTTTATGACCACAGTGTACCATCATCTGACCGTGTCCATCCCTTTATGACCACAGTGTACCATCTTCTGACCATGCCCATCCCTTTACGACCACAGTGTACCATCATCTGACCGTGTCCATNGTCCATCCCTTTATGACCACAGTGTACCATCTTCTGACCATGCCCATCCCTTTACGACCACAGTGTACCATCATCTGACCGTGTCCATCCCTTTACGACCACAGTGTACCATCTTCTGACCATGTCCAACCCTTTGACCACAGTGTACCATCTTGTGACCATGCCCATGACCGACACGCTTGTCGGCTCCTTGGCTGCAAAATCCACCCTAATCGGCTCGTGGGATTAGATTTTCAGCCTAGAGCTGAGATTCTCCGAAGAGAACCACAGCCATCTTCCTTGTTTGAATGAGGAAGTCAGAGTGTGCTCAAAGCCCTCCGGGTTAGTAATAAGAACGGACAAACTTTGGTTCCGCCCTCAGGATTAGAGATGAGTCAGAGAAAGAAAGATAAATGTTTGACAGGTACCAGTCAAGGTTAAATTCTGTGGTTGTTCAACAAACATCATGATGACCTCTTTAGCTTCTTTCTGATAGACTGTAAAAGAAATCACTGCAAAACACTTATGATGATTAACTGTAACATTTCTGTTTTATAATCAGCTATGAACCATTCTTTTAGTCCAGATAAACGACTTTCTCAAGGAAAATCCACAATTATATTACTGTGTTCACAGTAAAATAAAACAGTGATTTACATAAACACAATGAAAACATTGTAATCAAATTCTCTGTGATTTTTTATTCCATTATAAATCTTTAAATCCTGTGACAGTCATAATCATGATTTAACAAATGCATAAACATTCTTAGTTAAACAACAAATGAATCACGAACAGAAGAGATTGTTCTGTCCATTATCTGATTAAGAGAACTGAGGGGTTCTCTTCCACGGTTAGAATGACCTGTCATGGCCTAATAGAGTTCGGTTTGTGACAGAGTTCCTGTCCTCTTGTCAGGCCTGTCCGAGGCCTGCTTAGAGGCAGAAAATCTTGTTTCTTCACTCGAGGTGACCCCTACACCAGTACCTTGTTGAATCTAGGCCATGAAGGATTAAGGCAGTTCTGAAGGCAAACGGGATGGGTGGGAGAGGGCAGGAGAAGAAAGTGGTTGAATTGACTGAGTTATCTGCTATTAGCAGGCCTCCTTGATTCATTGGTCCAGTTGTGTTTCACTCTGTATTGGAGCAGGTGATTGTTAGAGCATCAGTGTGAAGAAATTTATTAGCCAGGTTAGTTACTGATTTTAGAAGCGCTACACCATTTTCTTAGTTTTCCTTTTTTAAATATTGACTGTTATAATCTATTGTTTAACTATTGTTATGTCTTGATTAAAATAGTTTAGATCCATGTCCGAAACATTGTTTCAACACGTAAAAACCGTAAATAAAACATTAGGTGAGTAGTTTTGTCTGAGTGCCTGCGATTCAGCTGCAGGCCAGGCATTGAAGACAACTGTATAAAAATGATAGAACTTCCGGTTTTTGGCAGCGTTGGTTTCCTGCTTGCTTGAATAGCATTAAACCATCGTTCAGATCCATTGACTGGTGTTTGCATGGTCCTCATTCCTTTTTACATTTAAATTTATTCAACATTTGTGTATTTATCGTCTCGACTTCAGTATTGAACACTGTTTTCTTACAGTTTTGGTGACCCCGAGTAAGACTGAGGATCGAGGCTTGGGCTGGCTTTTTCTCTCGGCTGCAGCGGCTAGCTGGGGCAGGCCAGATCGTCTGCGGTTCTTGGCGCCAATGAACAGATGAGCAAAATTAATTTTGCTTTTCCTTTTTGAAATAAAAATAAGGACTGAGTGACGATCTGTTTTTCCGCTGGCTGGTCAGTGGCGCTGGGGAAAAAGACAGCCCCGCTGATTATTAGCTTTGCTGAGCTAGCTGCTGTTAGCTTAGCAAAGGACGCGTGACTTCGTACGTAGACTAAACAATTACGGACTGATTGTGGACATTTAAAAGATGCTTAAATGATTTGTGAATAAAAGTCTGTGGGGGTTTAGGACCATACAATAAACTGTGGGTCCTTTATGAAGTAAAATACATGTTTTAAGACATATTTTCGGGCGTGAGGTGTCATAATATTTACTGTCGGTAAGGCCTTTTTCATGAGCTCTTTTCTAAAATCCTGAGTGCTTTTCTATAAAAACGTACCTGTCTAGGTGGGGAAACAAATATTTTTTTGTGTGGTGGGACGCCTGAAGGGTAGTTAGAATTACCAACTACTCGACTTCAGTTTTGAACACTAAGTTTTCTTACAAGTGGTCTAATGCAGAATGTTTGGTGCCGGTCAGACACAGAATGGTTAAATGGGACTTTTGCCTCTGGTTCCAAAAATATGGCTGAACCCAAAACACTAACATTTAGATTAAATATTGAGCAACAGCCGAGATGTTTCGTCCATCTTTAATAAAGTCTGGTGACCAGGGATGAAGAGCTCTGATGCAGATATTAAATGAGGAGCTGAGAGTTTCAGGTGCTCTGATACTGATCAAAGACAAGTGATCCACTCTAATCTGATACGTCAATGGGCTCATGTCATGCCTAATAAAGGCTCTTTGTCCAGTGGAAGGGTGAAATACTTTAACCAGCAATAACTGGAGTTTTGAGCCTCTTCCACTTTATATTTCGGATGAAAGCTGAAATATTCGAGCACCACTGGTGTAGAAGACAATGAAAACTAGACGTGGGTTTTTACGATGTAAAAACAACTGTGCGTTGCCACGTAGCATGTCAATGCAGCATGGCTTTGCCTGCAGCATTGGACTTGCAGAATGAACTTTGACCAAGATCAAATGTGTTTTCTATACCAGCTTGTGCCTGTCACATCAGCAGGTGTTTAGAATTAAGGTAATTGTGTCACACTATGAAGTTAGAAGAGATTTTTTCTTAAAGTTGCATTAGCCGGGTTTTGAACTCTGATCTCCCGCATGAAAGCCCACAGTGCTCATCATGAGACTATAGATGTAGCAGAGGGCAATCCCAGGGATTGGATTGTATGTATGCAGAAAATGTTTACCTTGCCAATGCAATTATTGACACTTAAGTGCAATTTATTACAACAATAGAGGAGTATTAAGACAATATTATAGTAAAACATCAAAATACAGTACAATCACATTAATATTGTAATCATTGAACTACTGAGTTTAAATATTATGAAACTATGGTGCAGTATCATATTGTGTAGATGCAGCAAGGGGCAGTATTGGACCAATACAAGGCTCCATTGACTGCTATTATAATTTATTAAACATTAATATTTCAAAAACTATAAGTTTTACAGGCACCAAAAGGCATAGCCATCAATTGGCACAGGGGCTTTACAGATATAAATTACAATGGCAGCTCTAGGACAAAGTATGCAGGAGGAGAAGCATGGCAAAGATGAGATGACTTGGATGGGAAACAAATCACAATAGTGTGCATTGACAAGCTCACTCAGTGTAAGACCATCACCACACCTGACATAAAGAATGGACCTAAAATGAGTCTTTGTTTCTTACCTGTATGTGGATTCAGACAGTGATGTGAGATACTCTGTAAAAATGTCTTCAGGCACCTCAGTAGAGCCCATGTCCACCACAAGGTCTGGCTGTCCCAGTATGGTGCCACCCTGAGGAATAAACAGAAGAACCTCAGGGATGTCCTGATCAGGCCTTTCACCAGAACACATTTTAATAAAGAATAAACTGTCTCAGAAATTATTGCGATAAACGGTAATATGTTGGAGACCAGTTTAAACTAACATAATCCCCCTGTTTACGGAACTTTGCATTAAAATTTTCATAATGTAAAAAAGAAAAAACAACTGTCTGCAGTCCTAAGAAGTCTCAGCTGTATGAAGACATCAGAAAACTGAAGACGCTCCTCTGACTAAATATCTGTTCACAGGCCTTCAGGCTCCAGAGGTTAGAGACCATCACCTGGCAAATACCTGACAGAGTTCACTTCTCTCTATGCTAAGACGTAAAAAAGAGGGAAACACAAAGGAAACAATACAGCAGGCAAATGAAAATTATTGTCTTCATTTGAACTTTTCTTCCTCAATTTAATTTATCATTTGATTGATTTATGGTTTATTGTGACAGGCCTACTGATCACAACACACCAGGAGTCTTTATTTTTTACAGCTCGTCAGTTTAACAATACACACACACACAATCTGGTAGAGCTATCTTTATGGGGACCTAGTATTGACTTCCATTATTTTCTACAGACTGACCACCAACCCTAACCTGACATGTACCTACCTGACCCTGAACCTAACCTAAACTCAATTCACACCTTGGTCCTAAACCCAACCCCCAACCCACCAATGGCATTTAAAGGGGCAATATCAAGTAAAATCAACTTTGAGTTTTATACCATGTTATAATGTTATACTCTCATAAAAACATGCCCAAAGCCTTGCTCTGACTCATTCATCATGTTTGAGAAATCCTGCAGTGTTTTTATGAAGCCATGCTGAGGAGCAAAACGACAGGTGGGGACCAGAAACACCTTTTGGTACCAGAAATGTCTCTGGGACGTGTCTGTTTTTATTTCTTTC